CTTCATACCAAGAATCCCTTCCGATCAGGGGACTTGCTGCCGGATGTAGCTTATCTTCATACCCAGGACCCCTTCCGATCAGAGGCCTTGTCGCCGGATGTAGTTTATCTTCATAACCAGGACCCCTTCCGATGAGAGGCCTTGTTGCCGGATGTAGTTTATCTTCATACCCAGGACCCCTTCCGATCAGAGGCCTTGCCGCCGGATGTAGTTTATCTTCATACCCAGGACCCCTTCCGATCAGAGGCCTTGCCGCCGGATGTAGTTTATCTTCATACCCAGGACCCCTTCCGATCAGAGGCCTTGCCGCCGGATGTAGTTTATCTTCATACCCAGGACCCCTTCTGATCAGAGGCCTTGTCGCCGGATGTAGTTTATCTTCATACCCAGGACCCCTTCTGATCAGAGGCCTTGTAACCGGATGTAGTTTATCTTCATACCCAGGACACCTTCCGATCAGAGACGTTGTTGCCGGATGTAGTTTATCTTCATGCCCAGGACCCCTTCCGATCAGAGGCCTTGTGGCCGGATGTAGTTTATCTTCATACCCAGGATCCCTTCCGATCAGAGGCCTTGTGGCCGGATGTAGTTTATCTTCATACCCAGGACACCTTCCGGTCAGAGGCCTTGTCGCCCGATGTAGCTTATCTTCATACCCAGGACCCCTTCCGATCAGAGGCCTTACTGCCGGATGTAGCTTATCTTCATACCCAGGACCCCTTCCGATCAGAGGCCTTACTGACGGATGTAGTTTATCTTCATACCCAAGACACCTTCCGATCAGAGGCCTTGTCGCCGGATGTATTTTATCTTCATACCCAGGACACCTTCCGATCAGAGGCCTTGCTGCCGGATGTAGTTTATCTTCATACCCAGAACCCTTTCCTATCAGATGCACCTTCAACGATTTGTTTGATCGTCGACGTTCTTCGTGGCTGTGCCGGTCTAACGCATGTTTGATCTAATGAATATTTATTCTGCAAAAGGGGTGGGAGACAGCTTTGGTTCATGCCGTTGGGCGCATTATTCTCTTTAACGGGATTTCTCGGATATTCAGGCCGGTAGACATTTATATATATAACGTTTAATAAATAAAAGGACCGGCTATGTCTATACGTCTACTCTATGTGTATCCACTAAATATAACATTCAAAGTGATAAAATCTGTCTGATTTATGAATAAAAGATCAATTATTTCACATATATATATATATATATATATATATATATATATATATATATATATATATATATATATATATTTAATTAAAAAAATATGATTCCATCGATACATAAGAGTTTGAATTAATTTTTTTTTTTTGAATCTAAAAAAAATTTCGCTTGAAGATGGAACAGAGCTTGGTACTTTAAATCAATGTAATTCAAATAATTATATTGAAGCTTTCGGCTCTTATTTTGAAACATGAGAACTCTTATGTAGCGATGGAATCATATTTTGCATGTAGATGATGCTATTATATTAGTATTGTCAACAAGTATGCTATGAATAGTGTCTGGTAGGTCTCCATGAATATTTAATTGAGCTATGATCAGAAAGGTGTAGAGTGAGTTTGCGTGTGAGACATGTTGTAGTATGGCCTATATAATTATTTACGAATTTTGATTGATCAGGAATACAATTCTTTAATGGGCATTTAAATTCTTAAATTATATTTGCCCTATTTAATTTGGTTCTAGGTGAAATATTATTTTTAACTATAAGGTTAGAGGTTTAAAATTTTTTATAATAAATAATTAATCTAATTTTTTGGCTATTGTCAACTGCTGTTATGCATTTTTTTTATAATTTTCTTAATTCAGTTAAAATATAATCCTTGAAAATGGCTAAATGTATAGCCGAAAGCGCTCGGATAAAAAGAACATTCGGACAGTTTTTATATAATTTATCACCCGAAAAGAAGAAAAAATAATAGATCGCATGAAAAATTGTATAAAAAACTAAATAAAAGCACCTTGTCTGTCGTTTTCAATGAAATGTGCATGAAAGAAGGATTGATGCTTAAATACACAAATATATATATATATATATATATATATATATATATATATATATATATATATATATATATAGTCGACTCTCCCGTAGAACTTCGACGTATGAGTGTCAAGCAGATCAGTTCCAAGGAAATCGACAGCCCGACAACAGCACATGAGATTTGATTATAGTGGTGAAGGTTTCGTGCAGGACCATACATTACTTTTTCAAGGGCCGATTACAGAGACCTGGTGCACTAAGTGCGACAAGGTCCCCAAACGACCCTCCGCAGGTTTTGAATTCAGAGTTGTCCTTCTCCTAGAACAGTTGCCATCCAAGGCTATAGAACTCAGTCTGTCCTGCTATTTACCCATAGCTGGAGGGAGAAGAAGAGGATTCACATCTTTCCCAAGGGTATTAGCACGTAAGTGAATGTAATGGATTCGACTGGAATTCGAACTCGGCTCTGCGATTCATCTGTTAGGTTTTTTGTTTTTGAAATAA